CATTCGACTGTTGAACATTGTTGAGCAATGATGTTCGATTGTTGTGTTGTTGATTTCGGCTGTCAACACTCGTCAATGTATCCAGTAAATAGTATATGATACAGAATGAGAAGATGATTCGAATTGTGAAATGAAATGAAACGAAGTGAATGATAAAAACCCATCAAGAGAACGATATTCGCATGTGATAGCTATGAGAGTGAATACAACACGTCTGAAAAGAATGAGAATCCATGCAAAACAATGTGCGTGTCACAGACAATAGCCTTTCATGCAATCATGCAATCATAATCGATTGCAATAATGAGCAACACAACATTCTAAGAGGAAGTCCAGCGTTGTTAAATACCATCATGAACGTGCTAATAAGACCTTATACGTAGGAACAGTAAGTTCTTGTATCAGGGGAGGGGAAAGTAACGGCGGTCGGCCATATCATCAAGAGCGGTAAGGAGCACCCGAACGTGAGAATCACTGGTATATGTGATCCAATACATCAGCAGTAGGCAGATCTTATTCTGATTTTGTTGCACTGGAACAATCGAAATAAAGTGGGTGAGTTCAACATGGTTGTTTTTAACAACTGAACTCGGAAGCTCGCAGTTCCTCATGAAACACTGATTCTTCCATTCTATTGTAACCAAGAAATATAATAGCTGATTGCAAAATTACGTCAGATATATCCTTTCATCGCTGATCAAAAAATGCCGTAGCAGAATTTCAAACGGCTCAATTAAATGAGATGAGTACAACGATGGCCTTCCTAATCAGGCATTAATCCATATCAGATTCTTTTTGCCTGAAAAAGACTGATGGATTTCCGATGAGCAATGCACTCATTGCCTGAAAAAGGAAACTTTTATGTTTGGAAATTGAGAGTCAGATGTCAATACTCGCTGAAACCTTCAACAGATATATGAATTGTTTCAGAGAGAGCAAGGCGATCGACGAAGACAGCAACAATTCCAGACGATCTCACGCACTCATCGAATATCTTTTCCTGACAAGAACACTCGAATTGTTCCAAGCCAGCAAGCTACGCAAACAGGTTGTCAATGTTGATCTCTAAGGCGATCATACACCGAAAACCGTAAACTTTTCGAAAAGCGCGTACACGTTTTCGCTAGCTGATTAAGATTTGTGATGCTGTCCGACATTCAGGTGAGTTGAATGCCATACGGAAACGTCCCCTCTCGGAACGAACGCCAACGACATCGTCGTCTAAACAACGCATTTTAACGCCTTCTCAGCCTATAACAAATCGAAATCGTCACGACGGTGACAATGGTGGACCAAAGCAAACAAATAAGCATGGGCAACAACTTATGAATCGTATGTACTACATTCTCCGGAGTATTTTGATGAGTAATTTTCATTTTATTCACTTGTCCTAACACAATTGAACCTATAACGGCACATTACTGACTTAAATCAAGCCATATAAGTTTCAATCGAGTTGTCATAATCGAATACAATCCAGTTTACAATTGAGGAATTCAGCCTAACGAATCAGTCAGACATATTCCCTGAGCTTTACAGGCTTGAATGTCCCAGCGTACCGTAGACAACTGTCAAAAGCACGCAAGAATGCAATGGAACTAAAGCGAATCCGCGAAGCGTTGAAACATCACATGAAGGTGCCCAAAAGTTTACCATTGAATTCACTGAAGCGAAAGTCTCATTCAAGAAAGCACACCCGTCCAGTTGATCCTGAAAAACGTCGTCTTCGGAAACTAATGCGACTGAAAACCATTCTTAAGTATCAGTCCGCTAAATTGCCTGTTGCGAATTCACCTCCACCTCCACCTCCAGCAGCGCCTGCGAATGCTAGACCAATCGCACGACCGCATTTACCTCAACAGCATCAAAATACTCATCGTCAGATACGTCCACAAAACCCTGCGAAGGTGAGCATGTTCATTTTGCTGTGTTTTTTTCACAGAATACGATGAAATGAAACCCAAAATCATGTAAGCTGTACTAAAAGTTCAAGGCAAATTCGATTCAGTTATCATAGAAGAACACAATTTGCCAGCGAATTATGAGTGCACTGGATGGTGTAGACAAGATAAAGCTGACCTCTGGATGATAATGATTGACAAGGACAACTAACTTTGCGCTGCTTTCGGAGGATGCCTCAGTTTCTTTCTAACGTTTCGTCATTTTATGTCATCATGGGACTGAGGGAAGCAAGAAACGCTTCTGTTGGTATAGCTGCTATGAGCTGGAGATCTCCATGATAAGAGATCATGGAGATCTCCATGATCTTTGTGCACAATACAACGCTTTCTAACTGTAACGAGAATATATCTGCTTGCTGATACGGTGATCTGTCGAAATTCAGATGAATCCTCAACAACAAAAACGGGTGAACTTTGGGGCGAAAAAACAGGTGAACTTTGGGGTGAAAGCTCCTGCACGTCAATTCCAAGCCAGAACAGTGCAACCTGTGGTAACCACACAAGTAGGTCGTTTGTGTTTGCTGCAGTTTACGGATTTATCAGTTCGACGAGATCAATTTTCCCTTCAAACAACGTTGACAAAATAAATTCTCATCAGTAGAGCTCAAAATCAATTATGACTAAAAACACATCGAACTGACTAATTGTTGACACACTCGCAAAATGCCTGCTAAATGATAATCAAATGATTGACGTTATTTGGTCAGTTTCCTTCTTCAGGTTCAATCGGCAGCAAAAACCCAGAAACCTTCATTTGCTAGTCAGCGTCTCATCCCCCAGCAACACTCTCAGCTGCAGAATTTGCACATTCCAACGGCGAAACCAATATTATCGAATCAGTTCAGACCTTTACCACTACTGCCTCGTGATCCGGAAACTGAGGCATATCTTCGTGAAATTGAAGACTACGATTTTGCAATTGAAACGCAAAAGGTGAGTGAATGCTTTGTGTTACAACCATATAAGCGCACTTGAAGGCTTACAATGGACGGTCGCTTTTGCGCGTCAACCATGATGATCTTGGTGCAATAGGAAATGAAAATCCCGAATGAACGACCTTCATTTTACAGCAGATGCAACGGCAACTACGGCGAAAAGCTACGCGATCTGAAGGCACTCGTGATGCTTTCGATGATACAGACATTCAGTATGAGAACATTAGAACACCAAAAGGAGAGGTAGTAGTTGCTTCTTGATCAAATCGCACAGTGATCACTATATCAGATCATNGAAACTGAGGCATATCTTCGTGAAATTGAAGACTACTTGAAACGCAAAAGGTGAGTGAATGCTTTTTGTTGCAACGAGATAAGCGCACTTGAAGGCTTACAATGGACGGTCGCTTTTGCGCGTCAA